TGAGTAGTTGTCTTCCCTTTCAGAATGTCATCAATTCTTTAAGAGCAATCCAGTAAAGGTTTATTTACTACAGCTTTCTGTTGAGTTTATGGCCGACTGCTGACTGCTTGGGACATAAAAATCTTGAAGATTTACAAGTAGTAAGTGGAGAAGAAATCCATAAATTACATTCTATATAAGAGCTTGTAGGTGAATACACACGTGTGCACACACTTACACATTTCCAACTTCAGAGGAAGGGTGGTGGGCATGTCCAGAAAATATATTCTTTCCTAATTTGAGAAGGATGGAGAATTCATTGGTAAGAGGGCCACAGCCAATAACCTCTGAGAGTTAAATTGCACCAGGTAACATTTTAATGCAGAGCAAGAGGCTTTGCTATTTTCTTTCTTAACGATGAGATCTGGTTCTTGCTCTTGAAATATTCAAAGGAGTTTTTATAGTTCCCAAAGGAAAAAAAATTTTTTCCTCTTAAAAGCTTTACCAACCAAACCAACAATGCTGAAGTTTATCCAGGTCTTCTGATGTCCTTGAAGCTCTTCTATGACAGAAAATTCTGGACTAAACACTCAAAGTCTCTCTCTTTTTCAGGTATTTTTTAAGGCCTGTGTTTAGAAAAAATACTCTAATAATAAGCTAATAGTAAGAAAAAAAATCTAATCCTAGGGGTGGATTAATTCTAGTAGGGTTCTAGACTTTCATAGCACTGACAGGGGAAATATAAAGTGAAAAATTCTTGAAGAACACTTCTGTTTGAAATTTAATAAATATGAATCTACTGTCATGAATTTGCAAACTGCCTCCTCAAATAGAGTATAAAACAGCTAGAAATTTAGGATGCATTTAGCAGAAATCTGATCTTGTTTGGGACTTGATCAACAAAGAAGAAAAAAATGAGGCAAAAAAATTAGAGAAATTGAATACTGGCTAAATATCTGGTGACACTGAAGTTATTGTAAATTTCTAGTTGTGATAATTGTATTGTAATTATTTTTGAGTCTTCATTTTTTAAAGATATATCATGAAATATGTTAGGATAAAATAATTTGATGGCTTGGATTTGCTTTTTAAAATATAATTGATTGTGAATGGGGCAGTAAGTTGATAGTCAAAGTCGGATGATGGCTACATACAGTTCTATTTCTGTATTTGAAAGTTTTCATCACATTAAAAACAATAAAATGACCAACAAGCTGGAATAGTCATTTATTATCTGTTGGGAAATTCATGGATTCATTTCACATTTCTTGTTCAGCAAGAATGAAGTACAGTTGTGCTCAGGGCCCTGAATGATTCACTCTGCAGATTTGACGTTATGAGCCACAGTCACTCAGCACTCAGGGGACAGGCAGGGGTGCTGCTGAGCTCTAGACCACACTGGCCTCTGTGAAATATTAGGGAACTCTCTTTGTTGCTAAGAAGATATCTACCCTTGGTTATTCCAAGAGGCCAACCCACAATATTTGACTTCAGCAAAATCTCACCCCACTGATCTATCAGTAAACAAGACCAAGGGAGACCCAGGGGTCTGAACTTGAAAACAGACACACAAGGTCAGTTTCCATAAATAAGAGGCTTTATTTTAAACTATACTGAAAGAGAGAGAGAGAGAGAGAGAGATAGATAGAACTAAAGGATGGGTTTTGCTTTATTTTAAACTATACTGAAAGAGAGAGAGAGAGAGAGAGATAGATAGAACTAAAAGGGCTGGTTTTTTAGTATAGAACCAAGTGGTGAACTGAAACTCAAACCCATCCTAGGCTCAGTGGGATGAAAAGGAAGAGGAAAGAGTCTCTGGGGAGCCACCACCTTGGAAGTACAGGCCCAGGCCTAGGGTTCAAAGGAGATCAGGGCCTCCAATGGCCCAAAAACAAAAGCAAACAAACAAACAAAAAAATGTCCAAGCACTCTGTGAAAGTGTCTTCCCGTTGACACTGGGGCTTCATTTCTCTAAATCTGGATGTTCTCTTTCCTGCCCCTTCAAAATCATATCAGTTGTTACCAGTCTTGCCAGCCAACAGTCCTTCCCCTGACAGCTCCTGGAAGATGTTTCCAGATATGTGAAGATCTTTAAAAAACAATTTCCTTTGATTAACAGACCTTTTAGCATCATTTTGAATTATCTGTAGATTGCTCACCCACATGGCCACACTGAAGGCCAAGGGTGCAGGGGAGGGAGGGATGGCTCCAGGGGCATGTTCTGGTCACACAGTTCTGAATTCAGCCAGCAAGTTCACTGTTCCATCCACATACTCCTTCTAGGTCATGCTCTAACCAGTAAGTATCCAGAATCTGATTGTAGCTGCTTCTTCTTCAAACACTCCTATGGCTTCCCAGTTGCTCTTCAGAAAAATCCTTAAAAGTCTGATAAGGCAGACAAGGCCTATCAGACCCTACAGATTCAGGCATCTGCCCCAGGCCAGTGCCTCTCCGTCCTGCATCATCTAAGCTTGAACAGCAGACCAGGAGGCTGGTTGCAGCTCACTATCCCCCCACAATCTCAGACTGTACCCCGCAAGGCATTGAGAGAGTGATCAGAGGCAGCTATCTGGAAGGCTAGATAGAAACTCTGTTGGGAATGTAGTCTGGCTAGTCAGGACACCAAGTGAGGACCTGGTGACCACAGGCCACCTGTACTGGGTTTCCATATTGGCCCCTAAAACCCCCAAATAAATACACAATAGCAGGGTTGAAAGCTGGTGGGTATAATTTTGGGGTGCTCAATGCAGTCTGTGTGAGGGCTGTATTGCTTATCAATCCACAAGGTGCCTTCTACTGCTGCTTCATATGGAGCTTTGCAAGACTGCTTCTACCATGATTGTTGACCTCTCTTCTTTGTCTGGTCCCAGCACGGTCTTTATAGGTCTACAGACCCCAGCCACTTGGCTGTCCCTGTGAGCTGCACTCCCTCGGGTTACCAAGGCAATGGCCCTGACCTCACACCCCCAGGCAAGCTTTATGATCCTTTGGTGAATCAAAATTCCTCTTAGAGCTCCAGGACGCCTCATGGGTATCAGAGGCAAATTAATAGATAATGTAGATAATTAATCAGTATCTGATCCCCACACTAGAAGTTTTGTGGGCAGAGCCATATCTGCTGTTTTGTTGGCTTGGTTTGTCATGGCTATATTCCTGACACAGGCTAGATGGCCTCAGTCCTGACACAGACCAGATGCTCAGTAAATAGATGTGATATGAATGAACAAAGCCTATTTTCTGATCCTCTAACTGTTGCAGGCCCCCCTTACACAATGAGCTAAGGAACCCTGCAGCACTGTCTTTGGGAGCGTAAATGACTTCATTGGTGGCACCAGGGACAGGGAAAGTGGAGCTCACACACCCAGGGCCACTTCCCTGAACAGCTGATTCTGTCCCAGCCCATACTCCTAGCATCGCCCATACAAACTGGCTGCCCACCCTCACCAGCTCCCACACATGGTACCCTTTATGAATAGATTCTTCTAGATAATGTTCAGATGAGAAGAGGAACAAGGGAGGGAGGAGGGGAAAGGAAAGAAGGGACAAGGAAAAAAAAGAATGGAGGAAAAAAATGGAAGCAAGGCTTTGTAAATAAAGAGTAGAGGGGAGTTTAAGGGAGGTGAGGACAATTGGAAAAAAAAGAAGCAGCAAGATATATCACATATGGGTACAAATTTCCTATGATGAATGTTATCATTATCTAAAATGTGCCACAAAAATAAAAAGTTAAAAATGAATATATTCAAACTTCTTTTTTGGGGAGAGGGTGTACTGGGGATCAAACTCAGGATCTTGTGCTTGTGAGGCAGGCAGCAGAACCACTGAGTTAAATCCCTGACCCTTTTGAGCTCCTTTTGATGTTCACTGCAACTCAAATCTATAAGCACAACGGATTATCAAAAGATGCGGTGAATATTTAAATTTTTAAAAAACTTATAACAATAAAAGACACATTGCCAAGAATGATGGAAGAAGTGTATTCAAAGAGAGGGGGAGAATTTGGGGTACTTTGGGGACATTTGATGACAATGTGTAATAAATGCTTTAATTTAAACATTCACCATATTGTATGACCACTCCTCACTGGTCAATAATTTATGGCAGTTTCTGTCAAATCAAAGCATTATGATGGGCTCTCATCCCCCTTATTCACCAGACCTGGCACCATGCAGCTTTTTGCTCTTCCTTAAGGTCAAAATGACTCTCAAAGGAAAATGTTTTTAATCAATTTAGGACATCAAGGCAGCCACAACTGTGCAATTAAAGACATGAAAGCAGACTTTCAGAACTGCTTCAGTAGGTGGCAAGAGTGATGGGGTAAGAGCGTTGGAACTGAGGGGGAGGAGCAATTGCAATGTGTCTTTTACTGTAACAGTTTTCTAATTAAACATTGACTATATTTTTTTATCACGCCGTATATAAAAATCGTGGGGCAGGTGAGGGTGGGCGGAAATGGTGAGTGAGACAGGCCTGAAGGACCAAAGTCATTATTTACGTGTCAGAATGCCACTGGTGATGCTCAATCATGCCCTTGTCACCTAACTTCCTCCCTAGAGCCCTCAGCTCAGTACCCAATATCTCAAGCACATGCGGAGTGCAAAGCTAATAAACTGAATCTGTAAATGGAATAATAGTTTTCTATCATCTGTCAGACATGAAAAGGACTATAAAAAGGTTTGCCTCTAATATATAAAATAAATCAAAACAATAATGTACCAAGCCTACATTACTCATATCGCAACAAACCACATAATTCCAATAGAAAATAAAAATCACTCCATATATAAACTCAGTGCCAAAACTTTAAAGAATTGCAAAACTTGTCTTTCTTTGGGGTGAACTGCCCTTCATCGAGTGGCCTTATCTTTGTAGCCTAGAGGAAAATGTTTTACTTTTTACTGAATGATTTAAAACTGTCTCTTCTAAAGTCGGTGGGTCTGTCGTGGTTGTTTATTATACAGTTCAGATTCAGGAAGATTAAGGACATCAGTCTTTTCATGAAGGTGAGCTCATCTGAGCCACTAAGATTGTTTCCTTAATGCATAACTGTCCAGCATTGACACAGCAGCTCTAAAGTAACTTCACAGATCTCCAGCCCCTTGGGGAAATACATGTATCAGTCCACCACTGGGCCAAATTTATGCCTCGCACAGACCCTGGACTGAGGTAGTCCAAGAGCCCATTTATGTGCGTCACACATAAAGCTTCAGCCTTGCAGAAGAAAACATCAGTGATTTTATTCGTGGATCCAAAACACTTAGCCATAACATATTAGATTCATTCACATCATTATTCTATTATTACTTCCTTCATAGGTTTAGTCAGCTAGCCAATTCTAGTTCATCCGGAAACATTATCTTTTTCTACTATACTTAGTCATTTATTTTGCAGCCTTTAAGATATCAAGAGCCCTCATGGAAGACCCCTTGGCCATCAAGCTGTTTGGGATATATGTGCAAACTCACTTGGGGGCCCAGGATGGGCCCTGGGAAATCCCTGGTCTGCCTGCTTTCTCTTCCCTGCTTCGTTCCCACTCTCATGTCCACCTGGAAGCTCCCTAGGTCCCCAAAGTCAGAATTTTGTCCTTGACTGCTGAAGTTAAAACTGAGCCACCATTGCCTTCCCATATGCAGAAAATGGGTGTTGGGAAAGGGGAAAATTCTTGCTCTAGGACCTTACCCAGGGGATTTCTTACCTGAGAGAATTTGCCAGTGTATCTGAAGGAACTCTTCCTACCCAGCCTAGTCTTTACCAGCCTGAGACATTTTACCTGCTGCTTTCTTTACCTTTCCCATCTTGGACAATATCTGTGCTACCCTGCCCTGACTTCTAAAGATAACACCATAGGACATTCCAGTTGCCGGGTCACAATTACTTCAGTGCTCGTTCCCTTAGCATTATAGACTCTAGCGAGGGAGGGCATATATTTCCTCATAGGGAGGAGGAGAGAAGCAGGCACAATCCTCCTCTTCCAGCTGTGTCTCTCCTAGCTGGTCAGCATCAGAGCTGGGCCTGAAACATGAGCAGAAAACCCAGATATATCACAGCCCAAAGCATCATTGGCAGAACAAGTGTCCCCACTCTGAGCAGCAGGCTGCACAAAGATCTACCCTTCCCACCACCTGCCCCAGGGACCAAACAGACAGAACATGGCTGGGGCAGCAGGGAGGGGAGTAGCCCCAGCACACACACCATACCTGCCATTCCCACCATCCATGAAAGAAGAGTAGTCCTCGCCCTCAACAAATGCAGCGTTATCTTGGGGGTAGATGGTGTAGTACTGAGGGGGACTTGGTATGGCACCTGGTGCCCCTCCGGAGGGCAAGAGACCACAAGGGTTTACCATGGACTGCAGGTAGGTAGTGTTTGTCACCATCGCCTCTTGAGACCCATAAGGAGGAGGGATATACTGCACCACAGTGGCTCCATGGAAGGTGATGGGTTGGTTGATACCAGTGAAAACGAACGATTGTCCTCCTGATGTCTGCTCCGAATCCGGGACCCTTTCCTCACTGTCTTTGCACAGCTGGCAGGAGAGCATTTTGAATTTGCACACAGCAATCAGGATGAATGTCACCCCAACTGATAGCAGGATGGGTCCAAGAAGCTGAGTCCATTCAAAGTGGGAGACACCTTGGTACTTGATCCAGCCCATGACTGTGAATGTAATCCCCACCAGTCCCAGAAAGATGCCTGAAAAGAGCAAGGTGGCTCCTGCCTTGTCGTCATCAGATACCTGGAGGTCAGCAGTGCTGGGAGTGTAAGGAGTGATCGAAAACACATTGAGAGGGAAGTCATCTGGGTGGCTGCTCCTGGGCTCCATGGCTCCTCACACAGCACCCGTGTCTCAGAGGGGAAAGGGATGGTGAGAGGCCAGGAATTGCAGGCTCAGACTAGTTATAAAAGAACTTTAGGCTCCTGTGCTTAACAGAGTATAACAGGCAGGGGGCTGAACTTTGTGTAGAAGAATAAAGGTCTGAGAACTGAAGCTTGAAGTTTGGTCAGACTGCCAGCAAGTGGAGGTCTGTGCATTGCAAGCCAATGATAGGCTGCTTCTGTAAGTCACATTAATTCACTCACTCATTCAAAAGACACTTTGCAAGCTGCTTCAATGCCAGGAGCTGTTATGCTAGAGCCATGTGTGACGCTGTTGTGTGGCCCTATTTTTCCCTACCAAAGCCAGGTTTATAAATGGCAAAGCCATCTCCAGCAGCAGAGGAGGACATTGATGTATATACCATATTCTCATGAGTATAACATATAACTTTGATACTGAATCAGTCTATTAGAAATAGGTGGACACCTACTACATAATTATATGTATATTCCTATCCACTTCAGGACCTTGGAAGCTTGTTGGGAGGTTCTAACAAAGGAGAACAGCTACTTATATACCCTTGACCAAGGAAACAGTCATCCTCTATTGCAGGTGGTTGTCCACTTGGACTTAGCATGCAGCTTTGGGAGGGACAGACATGGAGCAGTGAGGGAAGAAGAGGACACCCATAGCCAGCCATATCAGCCAAATCAACCCTGGTGATCAATGGGGTGATAGATGTTGCAGCCAGATCTCTCTCACATCCCCTATCCACTTTAGGAATCTCTTGTTATGGTGATACTTGTCTTAATCTGTTTTCTGTTGCTATAACAGAATACCACAAAATGAGTAATTTATAAAGAACAGGTGGGACTGGGGATTTAGCTCAGTGGTTCTACCTCCTGCCTTGCAAGTGCAAGGACCTGAGTTCTGACCCTGGTACCAAAAAAAGAAACAAACAACAACAACAAAACAAGAGTCTATTTTTTATAGTTCTAAAGACTGACAAGCCCAATATCAAGGTGCCAAAATTTGATGAGTCTTTTTGCTGCATTTAACATGGTAGCAAGTGTCACATGGTGATGGTTGCATAAGCATCAAGTGTGATGTAGTCTCTCTGGAACACATGCTCAGACCTTCCTTCCATGGTGACTGCACAGATCCTGGTCTCCAAGGTGAGGCAAATAGCTGCATTTTTGAGCCTGCTGTGTTTTGCAACCAAACCCTAGTTGATTTAGCAGAACACAGCTTGATCTCTAATGACATGTTCCATCATTCATGACTGTAGAACTTCCAAACAGCCCCACAAATTTCCTCCTCCACATAATAGCAACTGTAGGATTATTCCTTTCTTGGACAGATTTTTATCCAAGCAGATATCTCTCTTTATGGTTAAATATTATCCCAGCTTCCTTTCCCAGAATGCAAGAGTTACATCTTTTCCAAGGAAGGGCTTTCTAAATATCTCTCTGCTAATGAAAATCAGCAGGGCCATTCACATCCACTCATTCCCACAACATATTCAGGAAAATAATCAGCATTATGGAGTAAAAAAATGCAAGGTCTCTGGAATCTTGTATTTCCCATCTCAGGAAGAGGAAAGACAATCTTAATTTGTGGCACAGTTTCAACTTTTTATGAAAAAGCACGAAGTTGATTTTTGTTCTCGTATACAAGTACACCTATGTATAGGAGGGTGTGGATAGATGCTAAATGGCCAAAGGGGTGGACTGTAAAAGCTATTAAGCTATGGTTCCTCAGGTTCAAGTTGACCTATCTGTATACTGTGCTTTTAGGGGTGGTACTAAGACTCTGAGAGCCACATTTTTCCTGACATCTGGCTTGCCATTAAGCATTGCCATAGGTGATATTTCAGGGAGGGTTCAGGGTAGAAGGAAGAGGGATTTGCTCCTTGTTTTACTTGCTATTTCTCTTTTGTCTCTGGCAATGTTCCTATGAACAGTTGATTCCAATTTCCAATTTTTTCCTTCTCCTAATCTAATCATATCTCTCAGAGGTGTTGGCACTACCTGGGCAGGGCCCCCAAAGATGTCAAGATTTCAGCTCCATGACCATCTGCTCCAAGGTCTTGGCTCAGATAACTCAATTGCTTCTCAACCTTAGAAGAGGTAGCATCTTCTTTTACCCCAATATTTTCCTTTTAACTTTTTAATCTTCTGCTTAACCAATTTCCTAGATTAGTTCCTCTTTGTAAGAAATCACTACTATGTCTCTGTTTTCTTGAGTGGAGTGAGTCCTATCTGAAGCAGAAATGGAGAAGGCAGAATTAGTGAGTAGTGGAGCTGAGATGGGGCCTTTGGACTATAACAGAGTCCTGTCATAATTTTGTTCTGTAAAACACTAGCATCTCCAGTGCTGTCCTTCCAGATACATGATACTGCTGAAAAAATTTTCTAAGTTTTCAGATTAATTGGGAGTCTGAATTGATAAATCACTATTAGTTTGACATCTTGTATTTTTTTTTCTTGAAAGCTTACTTAAATTTTTCATTAATTTTAATTTTTAAAATGTGAAAATTATCTATTGTCATGAAAAAAGGTGAATTTTCTTTCTCACCAGTACAATGTTTCCTATAACATAACAAGTAGAGAGTCCTTCCTAACAGGCAGATTCCCAGGCTCCATGGGACATTAGTGAATCAGAAACACTGGATGTGTGGCCACAAATCTGTACTTGTTTAAGTGCCCCAAGGGATACTTAGGTTTATTAAAGAGCGAGGATCCCTGGGGTTATGGTGAGATGCTATTGCATTGAATATACCAACTTGGGAAACTTGTCTAGTGGCCTGGCAATTTCTCTATGTCTGATATCTCAATATTTTTAGAACCAAACTCCAATAAAAGGAAGTAGTTTTGCATTGTTTTGGCTGCTACTTCAAGTTAATACAGGAGAAGTGGACAGACATGCTGAAGAGGCAGAATAGATCCATTTTCATATGATCGTTACTAAGAGTAACTTCTCACCATGAAGCTAAGTCCCTGCTGTTAGTTAGCAAGCCTGAAGTTCTCTCTGATTTGTGAGTCATTCTCTCTTAAATATTCAGAAATATTCATGCACTGGAAATTTTGATAGGTACTGTGAGAGATTGTGGCCAGGGACCGATAAATACCCAAGTTTTGCTGCCCGCCTTCCTATCCCTTCCCATTACTCATAGGAGGCATGGGACAACTTTACTGCTATGGAATTTGAGCTATAAAGAATCCCCAAAGCACAGGACTCAAGTACACTTGGCTGGAGCACATGGTCAAGGCTGGAAGCCTCCCTTAAACTTGAACTCGAAGTTGAGAAAGCATAGGAAAGTGCCTTTTTCTATAAGAAAGCATAGAAAAGGTGATCCACAGAGAGAAGCAGAGCAGGCAGGCCCTCTGAGGTCAGAAAGATATCAAGGAAAGTTATTGAGTCCATAAGAAATGGTTGTCTTTCTATCTGGCTAAGGCCTAGCCCTTTAGCATGTAAAAGAGGGAAGTAGAAAAAAGATGCACTCACTTGCATAAGTCGTCTTTTAGATTACAGCATTAACATCTAATTTGCAAACAGGTTCAATAAGTCTACAATAGAAACAAAGACATCTATAAGTACTCCTTCCACAGGAAAGCTTAAAATAGAAATCTATCTCATCCAAGTATACCTTTAGTTAAAAAATGATGAATTATTTTTCCATGGCAAAGTTTTTATTAGATTTAATATAATGTCTCAAATCACTTAAAGTCTCAATGATCAAGTAAGTCTCTCCATACAATTTTAAATCTTCATTTTTATTGTAGGAATATCACATATAATAAAAATGTACAGTTTTCCCTTACAATTGTTGTTTGAGAATATTTAGCATTGAAACTTGAAAAACATTTGTTAAAAAGCTTCTTTGTGAACATCCTTTGTTACTGAGTAATTCAATTTGCTTTATCCAGAATTTGATCCTTTGTGTTGGTGGGATAATTCTTTACTATATGAAAATAATAGTCAGCCCTGAATTCAGAAAATTTGGCTAAGTTTTCAAAGTTACTAGTTATCCATTTTACATCTGTTGAAAGCACATATGCTCAATATTCTATTTCCTTTTTAGCAAATCTTACTATTTAATTCCTTTAAATAAGAACACCTAATGGCAAGTATCTTGAGATAGTGCTGTCAATGAATGCAGTAGATGCTGAAGAAATCCCAGGATCTTTTCTGTTGAAAACATCTGTACCAGTTAAGCTCTGTACCAGTTAAGACTATCTCTGAATAAAACATATGTGGAAGTTGCTCTCATTATAAATGGGCTCCTCTCAGTCTCCAAATACAGAAGGTGTAGAACTAAGTTAGAGACAAAATAACAATCCTTAAGATGCAATTACATGACAAATGAAAACTAGTCAACTAAAGTAAATGCTTAGAAAAACAGCTAAGACTGATGATCAGTCATTTTAGTATATCAATCACTCAATGAGTTGATCATCCATTTTACATGAATAAGAAAATCCATAAAATAGCTATCTCACTAATGTCTAAGCTTTTGTCAAAATATCAAAAGTTAGTCTCTCACAAATTGTTCAAAATGGATTTTTAGGGGCTGGGGATTTAACTCAGTGGTTCTGCTGCCTGCCTTGCAAGCGCAAGGGCCAGAGTTCGATTCCCAGTATTTAAAAAAA